CTTGGATTGTGTATTTTACATTTGAAAACTACTGATAAGAAGTGAGAAACCAGGGCATGCAGCGCTTCCTGGTGCTCATGTTAGTTTGTTAAGGGTATGGAAGAGTTAGTAAGGCCTGCCCTGGTGTTTTGTGATGTGGCTTGAAGAGCTTGACTGAGCTGCAAAAACATATGGGTGAGAGCAGTGGGTGACAACGGTGGGAGAGGTGAGAGAAAGGTGCCACATGCCAAGGAAGTAATCTCCTAATAAATGCAGATGGCCTGTGCGGTGCAAGCAGGAGTGCTGGGTTAGGGAGGACGTGGGCTGTTGGGCACTTGAAGACTCTTGTCAGCTCAGCCTCCAGAGCTGAATTGCAGAGAAAGTCCCACTGCTGCATATTCCTGCAGGAGTGGATCTGAACCATTTCTTTCTCTTTAAAAATAATCCCTAGAACAGAGCTAAAAGGAGATGAAGTGTGACTTTCTTTTATGTACCTACAACATGGGGTGAAATGGCCTTGGCAGAAGAAGGCAAGAGATTTGAGGAGTTGTGAGCTCTGGATGTATTTCGAAATTGATGAAAGCTGAACGATGGCTTTTAGTGAAGAGCACATCCCCTCTGTCTTGTGAAACTTCAGTAATGGGAAAGTAGATGTTCTCGAGGAAAGGTGGCATTAAAAGCCTGAACAATGCTTCTCATTTTGCTTTGTATGTGTTTGATGAATTGCTTGGGACAGTTAATCAGATGTTAACATAGAAAAATGGAGTTGTGTTTGCAGAAAAGAGAGGTGGCATTGTATCAAGCGGAGGTGAGGCTGTTACTATGCAGCAGACTAAGCAGATTGGGAGAGAAATGAATCTTCTCCCCACGCTGATGCAAAAAGCTGTTCCTTGATGGAGTTGATCTGGGAGGACGCTAATAGCATCTTCCTTGGATGTGGCACAGTACAGGGATTTGAGCTGCTCATTTGAGGGGTGGTGTTGGAAGTAGACTTGTGGGTCACTTTATTGGGACTTTCCTTCTAACATATTGGATTTATTGGTAAGTGATACAGTTGTGTCAGCAACATCAGTTATCTGGGGGTCTGAGAGATGAGGTGGATTTCAGGGACAGGAGGCAGCCCGTTAGGAGTTCTGGTGAAAGAAGCAGTGACTTGGACATGGAAACCCTTCCTGCTGGACAGTTGCCTCAAAATACTGGCTATATTACCACCAAACATCTGGAACGTTATGACTGCTCTGATTCATTAGACTGGGAGCTTTGCTGAAGAATGGTTTTGCATGTGCTATGAGGGACTGCTTCCTTGAACACTCATGTTCCTCATTTGCATATGCATTATGGGTCATCCATGTATGTGCAGCCCTATGAAATTTTGCTGCTTCACGTTCGAAGCGGTGATAAGCTGGGTCATGCATCATTTAAGTTTACCATTTTGTTGTGAGGCTTTGCAGTGGTTGTTAATGCCTGTTTTATTGGTGGTTCCAGAACTTGATTAAACAGGAGCATGTTATTGGGTGCAGGGAAGAGAAGAGGGTGCCAGAAGCAGCTGGGTGGTCAAAAGAAGACCGTCTCCTCCTAACTTCAGATGGTCTGTGCACTGCAGGCCACTAAACTGGATTAGAGAGTGATGAACAAGGTCACTATTTCAATCAGCAAGTTCAGCCCTCCCTGAACCTGGCTTGCAAGCCTTGAGTTTCTCTTCCACCATCAGCCAGAGACCTCACCACAGGTAGTAGTTGCTTCAATGGTCTCACCCCTTCCTTAATTTATCTCTGAAGTTTGGAAATGAGGGAGATGTTCAACTTAAGAGTGACGAGTATGTATGTTACAATGAAGGATGGTTCAGTCTGCTTTATCTTGTGTGATTTTTAGTGCATATGTTGCTAGCAATACCCAGTTCCTGGCACAAAAAATTTCAAATGAGACATACAATATATTTGCAGGTGGTTGGGTTAGGACTATTCCCCTGGGTGTAGACCTGCTACCCAGAACATCAGATTCAGAGCAGCTGCTCTCAGCCCTCCCCCAGTGAACAAGCACCAGACTGCCTCAGTTCATCATGCTGTTCGCAATTATAGTACAGAGATGTAGGATGTGTTGACTGCGAGACCTTGCGGTGAGGTGAGGTGCGATCGCCAGGAACAAAATGATCATTACAGGCCATTCATGTCAGCAGCATTTATGCTTTTCTGTTTGCTTGCAAGCAAAAACAGCAGCTAATTTGCAAGGCTGCCTTTTGTAAAAGGGCCTTTTGATCAATGCTTGCCTGTGTTAATGTTTCAGTAGGCTATTGATTTCTGCAACAGCTTTTGTTCCCTGAATTTATGTGCGATGGGATTCGGCAGCGCACACTGTGCATGTTTGATTAAAGCTCATTTGACTTCACTTGCAGTGAAGCTGGAAGCTGTTTTTACTCCCTGTTTGTAGAACCAAAGCTTTCCTGACTTATTCCTTTGTGCTCCAGCTTCTGCCACCCATGCAGTCGCCAGTGTATGCTGTTTCTAATCCTTCCAGACTCACTCCACTCCAGCATTTAACCCCTTAGGTAGGCAATATAATATTAGATAGCCAGGCAGCTAGTAAGACCTGGCATGGAATTTTTTCAGTGTCGTACATGTCTAACCTTTGTGTACGTATGTAACATTAACATTCTCTGTGTATGCTTACTCTCTGACTTTTACTTCTTCGTCTTTGTCAGAAAGTTGAGTCACTTACTGAGTCGAGTAGCTGAATTTGAAGTACAGAATATTCTCTAGTCCTTTAATATATCCAGATTTCATAGATGGGGTAAAACTAGTTGTTGAATAAACTTCTATTTCATCTTTATCTGCATGCAGTTGTGACTGCAGTGTCGGGACGGTCTCAGGAAGAAAAGCATTATGATTGTGAAGTTAGTATTTTTTACAAAAATACACCATTTCTTTTTTTAAAAAGTTTGATTTATGATGTAGTGCATGTATAAGTTGTTAAACTTCCCTTGGGACCTGATGGGTTTGCGATGTGTAAATAGACCTCAACTGGGTTCCCGTTTCCTATTTTATGATAGGAGGAAAACAGATTGGTTTGCACTCTGCTGTTGCCGTATATCAGAGGACACATTAATTCACTGACATAGACATGGGATTTACTGACTTGCTCCTTGGTGCTGACACCTCAGATTTGATATAAATGAATTTATAGGTAGAACGTGGCTGGTTTCATTTGCAAGAGACTTTCTACCTCTGAAAAGGATTGCATCAGCTTTTCTGCAGAGCTTCGTCTGCCTCCTGGCACATGTCATATCCTCAGTTTGCCAAACAGTTGTGCTGGATGGACTTTGAGCCCACTTAATGGACTCAAAGTAAAGTGGTATTTCTAAAGCAAACATGTACAGTTGAACATGCAGTAGCAGAGCAGGGTGCTGGGTGTCAGAACTCTGTGTTCTTCCCAGATCTGACATAGCTTGAATGCTCATTGCCAGCCTGCACCCATTCGAGTTTTAGATTCGCTTCAGGAAAGAGTTATTTTTATTTATTTATTTATTTATTTATTTTAGTGGGGCTTTTGTCCTTCAGAATCAACAATTGTAGGTAATAATTAATTTTGGCCACTTAATCCTTCCTCCTCCTAACCAAGTACCACTCTGAATACAGTTTGGTGTGAATATTGTTCAGGTCTGTGGTGGAGATCAGTAGCATCAATCCCAGTCTATAGCAGTGCAGAATAAAAATGCATTTATTCTGTCTGTCACCAGAAATCGAAGTTACGGTTGTGTTTTTCTGGTGTTTCTGTTTTTAAGTTAGGCATTGGTAAAATTCTTAAGTGTCTTAGGTGTCAGCAGTTAATGTCTGAACAACATCATCCTTTTGTCTTTCAAGTGTTTCAGTGGTACAGATGTTAGTTATGGCTGTAATTGCTTGTTTGAGGCCCTTGGGAGAGTTTGGATTAAGGGTGTGTCTTTATTAGAGCTAACTTGAGTGATCTGCCCTGCGTATAGGCTGCAGGATTTCTCCACAGAGGGAGCAGGCTGAGGTTATGTTATTTGATCACATAAAATGCAGTTCAAAGAAACCCTTTTTGTGGGCAATTCAGGTATGTTTGTTCTGATGTTGATTTTTCAAGGGGCTGGTTAGAACTTCACCGTTTTTCTCTTGCAACTTGAAAGAAACAACACCTTTTACCTTAGAGGCAGACAAGTCGCCAGGAAATGATGGGGTTTCAAAGTAAGAGAAAAGAGATTAAAACCACATGCTGTTCTTTAGTTCGGCATTACATCCGCTAGTTTGAATGGCAGCTGCTCCAGATTTTGAATGTAAGCCAGATTCATTATGCTGTGAAATTATCACTCGTTTCTCTAGGTGTGCTCTTTTAACTGCTTAATTAATTTAGATGTGGGCATATATATTCAAATTAAAACAACGATTTACTGTAGTAGGGTTGAGTTATGGTTATAGACATCTCATTGAACACGTTTTTATTCTAACTTTCAGCTTCTTAAACAGGAATATTTAAAAATATCTGTACGCAGAATGTAGGTTGACAAAATGGCAGTACCTGTTTGAATTGATCCTTATCTTTTCTGTAAACACCAGAGAATTCTTAGCAGTTATCAGTTATTTGTTCTGACAACTCACTGAAAGGCAGTACCTCTCCGGATGCAGCGCCTGCTGAGCTGTGCAGAGGTGTCAACAGGATGCTGACAGCAAGGCAAGGGCACCCCCTTCCGAGTTGCTGAGACCAGTAGTGCCAGCAGCATCCAGGTGGAAGCTGGATACGTACTACCCAGCCTCTTTTCTTTTCTAGTGGAGGAGGAGAGGAGTGAGAAGGCGTTTCTTTACTTCTGTTCCTCCCCTGCAAAAGCAAACAAAAAACAATGAGGAGTGTTTTTCTGTCTTATCTAAAGATTTCTTTTGTCTGGCTGAAATACATCATGAAGCTTCCTACAACAATACATGTGCACGCATACAGAGAGCAAAAGGGAGGAAAAAAGCTGACAAGTCAAATTTGCATGCCCCTCTAACATACTCATTCTGTATTTGCAGGGAGAACTAATCACCTTCTATTACTATTGGAAGAAAACCCCTGAAGCAGCAAGTTCTCGAGCCCACCGTAGGCATCGAAGACAGGCTGTGTTTCGGAGAATTAAAACTCGAACCGCTTCCACTCCAGTCAACACTCCCTCCAGGCCCCCCTCCAGTGAATTCTGTAAGTGGAAGCTAAAAGCAACGCATTTATCTTTGTTTAGATGCAGGGAGCAACAGTAATGTAATGGTGCTGTACCTTCAAGTGAACGAAGCAAGGAAATGGGGTTCAGGCAGTTGCCCTCTCCTGTTCCTATACCATTATGCTGGAATGTGGTAGGCGTCTTTGATCACCAAGTGCTTTGTGCAGTTCTCAAACATAAAAGCATCCTGTAAGGATGGAAACATTGCCCTGGTACTGAATTTCCCTACTCTTTTCTTGGTTTTGTGTTGTATTTTCTCCAGGCTTATTACAGTAATGGGAATTAGAAAATGCAAAAAGAAGGAGGTCCATCCCTTTGGAAGGAAGTCCCTTTCATCCTTACTTGGTGACCCATACCTTCTGCTTGATCTCAGACTGTGTGCTGCAGCCAGCACTGTTGTATCTTAATGCATCTTGGAAGAACTTTGGCCTTGACTGAAGCAGAAGTGTCTAAACAAAGAATAATTACCCAAACCAGTGGAATGTACTGCATTGCAAAGGGTTATGATTAGTAATGTCCGTATGGATATATAAGCTTTCATCCTTATGTAAAAGGCTTATGTTACGCTGTGAGTTTTAAGTCTTTCTGTAGACTAAACCCAGCACATTTCACGTACCTTCTAAAGAAAAGGGACTATGTGGAAGGCAGAAATTGGCAGAATCTTACTAAGATGGGGGAGGTAGAGGATGTGGTGAGCAGGCAGGACAGAGAATTCTGGAGAAGGGTATTAGGTAGTAAGAAAGGGCAATTAGCTTCTCCTTGCCGAAATTGATAGGTTTTATTGCTGATTTCTGTGTGCACAAGAAGTGAGGATCTTGCCTCTACAGCTCGGTCCAAGATACTCAGCACTTCAGAGTGCATGTGGCTGGAAGGACCCATCCATATGGATCCGACTGCAGGATGAGAATAAAAATTAATTTAGTAAAAGAAAGCAAGTTCTAGCCTGGTGTCAATTTTGCAGTCAGGGTTTAAACACCTGCAAGAATTAATGTGGAAACTATGGTAGTGCCCTGTGTTAATTTGAAGGGTAATGAGTTGACGGCAAACGCTAGCGGCAAGTGCTGTAGAATCCCTCCCTCTCTATAAGCTGCATGTGTTGCAAAATATCCTCTTGGAACCTTTAGAAAAAACAGTATTCTTGCATCAAGGACTACTTTTCTAATTAAAGATGTGAACAAAAGAAGCCACAGGGCTTTCTGCTTGTGACAAATTATAGACCTGTTATGTTGTGAATTTATAGTGGTGCTAGAAAAATGCAGTACTCTCAATAAGAAAGGATTTACTCCTGAGTTGTTTTAGAAGATGAGGTAAGATACCGGTTTTGTGATGTGTGCAGATTTTCAGTGGTTTAGATGGTGCTTTTTAGCTCACAGCCTTGTAATCAGCTAATTTGCTATATACTGCTTGCCACAAAGGAAAGTGACCCTTTCCGTATTCTCCATTTCTTCGAAACGTGACATTCTTGAAGTGTAAGTTTGCCACAGGTTAAAACTCTTACGGAGGCTTGCAGTAAGAATTGGAAAGCTGGTAGTATCCTTGTAGTACCTCTCGTCCAAAAGAATCGCAACATGTTTTTCAAATGGGTACGTTATATGCAACTATCGTTTCTTCCACCCACAAAATGTATCTAGCTCTTGGGTTAAATATAGCCGCTGTCTAGCAGAGCATAGCAGCAGTCCCCATCTGGTTTAGAAGATGAAGACTAGAAAACAAATAAAAAAACAGAAAAGCCACCGCATGGAATCTAGTAATGTAGGATTTAGGTGTAGAATATTTGATTTCAAATTTGATCAAGTTCTAGAGATATAAACCTCCTTTCTCTTGAAAATTGTGCTTTTGGAACACAGCCTCTCTAACTAAAGCATGAACAGTGTTTGAATGACAACTTAATTGAAAAAGTACTGTGTACTGAATAAAAAGTTGTG